GGTGATTTTTCGGATGAGGGTCAAAATAATCCCTTTTCACTGTCTTAGGTATTTCCCTAATTATTTTAGCAATCAACAGAAAGGCACGAAATTTTGACATAGAGCCGCGATGGCTCAGGGGATAGAGCCATCGTGGCTTCCAATGAGGTGAACCGAGGTTTGATCCCGGTGATGGCTGTTCGATACGAATTTCGCATCCGGCTTGCACAAACCACAGTGCTGACGTGAAATATCCTCAGTGATAGACGGATCATGGGTCAGAGTTCCCTAGACGTTAGGCTTACCATGGGAGGTTCTTGTGGTCTTCTCAATGTAACGAAAAAAATGAGCGTCGAAGCTCACTTGTATCAAATATTTCATAAGAAATGGCCAAAAAGGGTCAAAATGACCCCAATGGCACTTCTAGTGTTAAATCACGTGTTTATTATGTTTACAGTTATACTTTTAAAACGTGTTACTATAAAACTAAATTATTTAAAGTCAACGATAATTGAAAAAAAAAGGAAAAAGAAAAGCTTTGTACTGAAAAGCAAAGTAAGTGGAGAAATGTTACGAATTCATTTAAGAGAGCGTAGCAAATTGTAAAGCATTATTGCCGTCAATTATACTTCATTAATTTTTGTTTAAGTACTAATTGATATAAGAATAAGCTCTGAAAAGCAAAATTAATGTAGAGAATATACACATTAATTTTGGGGAACCTTAAAAGTTGTCATACTACTATTGGAATTAATGATGGTTAATTTTGTTAATAGACACTACTGGTAACATGATAGTAGATTTAGTTTTAATATGCAACAAGTATACCTTCATATAGGTACAAAATGTTTATAAATTAATAAAAAAAATTCTAAATTTTTTATTATTATAGTATTTTTTTCTACTCTTGGGTTATAGTTATCGCTGCACCAATACTATACGTTTTTATGTAAGGTTTTTACTGTTTCTCGCAGATTCAGGAGAAAATAGCCTGATTTTGGGAAATTATAAGTATGAGTTGCCTAGAGGAACAGCATTATGCCAGATGATACTGAATACAGTTAATCTTTATTTTGATGGGACAAACTATTAAGAACGTGTATTGCTTAATCTAATAACCTAAACCCACCGAGAAGGGCAACAAATAGTAATAGATAAAGAAAAGGAATGAATTTTTTTTTTGCTTAATTATTTGCATCAATATATGTTTCACACTTTTGTGCACGATCTTGAAGTGTTGTCCAGTATTAATTTATTGACGTTTATTTTTCACCCTTAACTATGAACGGGCATGCAACCAATTAATCCAATATTAATCAAATATTACTTCTTCGTATATTTTATTGCAAATTTAATGGACATCAGAAAAATGAATAGAGCAAAGAGATTTTTCTAGTTTTTTTAAGTCAATTAATAATGAAACAACTTGTTAATTTGACTTAACTATTGATACTTGACTATTTGACAATTGGTAATTATCCTACTTGTCTACACTGGCACCAGTTGTAACTGAACAAAAGGTTAACAAATGGTACTAGTTTCAAGAATAAGGATTAATTTGATACATAATATTTCGCTTAGTAGAATTAATATCTACAATAATTGCATAGTTCATTGCAAGTCTTGCATAAATCACCTGAATATAAATCACTGCTAATCACTCTATTTTAAATCGTATAAATTGCTAGTTTGTTCAGAAAGGAAGCAGTGGTTCTACCCAATAAAACTTAGAAAATTAGGTTCGCACAAAGTTGTAAGGTCTTTTTCAGAGAACTGCATCAGTGTACGACACAGCACTAAAGATCACACCGTTGAAATGGAATTAGAGGAGTAGCAAACACACTCTACTACTCTTCTGTTACACTAAAGTAAATTGGGATTCGAATTCTTTATGCTTCGATTATAACTGTCTTTTAATTAGCATTTCGTAAGAATGCACATCTTCAACCTTCCAGAAGGGAGAAGGCTTAGATAGGCTTTGTAGTAATTTCCTCCCTGTACAGTAGAAAAGTCAAATTCAATTCACCACCGAAGGAATTTACGCTTCACAGGAAATTGGCTGCAAGTAAAATTGTAAGCGAATGATGTTAAAGCCTCAATGATTGAAATTCAATGAATAGAAGACTTATTGTTTGGCTTCAAGTTTCTTGAAATGACGAAAAGGGTAAAATTACAAAGATAATAGAATTTTAGCTCTCTTAAAGAGACTTATTGAAATTTTGAGATGAAAATTTAACGTAAAGACTTCATTTCTTGTGGCTCTGTGAACTGAAATTAATGTCAAAATAATTAAATAATAGGAATGCTCCGAGCATGGTAAATGTTTCATCAGATATAGTCCCTTGTTGCTGAAACATTTAAGAAGTGTAAAATTATAAGCGTATTTGACCTGCAAATATGAAGTTATAATAAGACTAGGTAGTAATAAGACGTGTAAAGTGAAAAAGAATGTGCGTAGATGATAAATGTTCTAGAAATTTATGAAATATATAAAATACGAATCAGCTGTATGAAAACTAATGCTATTCCTCCTTAATATAAATACACATAAAACAATCTTTGTACTATGTATAAAATACGAATCAGCTGTATGAAAACTAATGCTATTCCTCCTTAATATAAATGCACATAAAACAATCTTTGTACTATGTATAAAATAAGCCCCAGCTTGAAGATTAAACCGATCGGTATAAACCGACTAATATTAGACTATGTTGATTAAAAAAATAATGTTGTTATGCAATGTTAATTTTTAAAAGAATATTATTGGGAACACCATACTCAAACATGCTAAGTTAGGAAGTAACAATACATGTAGACATTTGTGCTATTTTTTCCTTAGCTTCGTATTATTTATTATTTTAAAAAAGTGGCGATTTTGTAACCTATGTATTACCTATTATTATGTTTTTTTTTAGATTGTAATATCACCGAATCAATATATTGTTATAATATTGTCTTTAAAAGGAGGTAACAGTTAATGCTCCAAAAATAGGAAAACATTACTCTGCATGTTAATAGCAGTCAATGTAAGTGAAACATGAGCTGCGCGTTCATAAAACTAAGTTCTCTGAATCAGCCTTTAAAGTAGTCTTGGAAAATAGTCTTTCCACGCATTTATAACCTTTTATATTAGGCAGTCTTTCCTAATCTGTTTAGTTTTCCTGAAAGAAGACTAACTACCGAATTATATTCTAATTTTAATCATTCTCTTCATACCAAATCCTTTCAACAATTACCCTTTACCGAACAAATACGTAAAGATTCATCAAAGTTGATAAGCAAGGCATCATAACAATAAGGACTGAAATTAGATGCCCCTTTTGGGTAAATCCATCAAGTTCCTAATTTGGCATTTGTGACTCTTGAAGCGTGAAAAGCCCATTTCTATAAGGTTCTGGCTTGTATAATGGCTAACGTACTTACGCCCACAAACTCGACTCGCGCTAAATGAATGGATGAATGCGGCTGCAGATTCTACGTATATCACACTGGAGCTCTGGCACTCGACATTCGTTGGACGTTATCTGCTTCATGAATCTAAATGGGGAACAATTTCGCCGAGTAGTTACCCAGCAGTTGCAGAGGGTAAAAATGTATAAATCACGTGTCGAAAGTATTTTAGCTTTACCACTTTTATTTGTGTCCTCAGAAGAGGCTGTCTTTAAGATAACAATGATGCGAAGAGTCAATGATAAAGCAATATTGTCGCTCGTTTTGGGCTTTAGAGAGTTGTAGTTTATTTCTAGTTATACCATTTTTTTCCTGAATGCATGCTTAGTTAAGCAGAGGATTCTCATTTGTCTTATTCTTTCTAAGTGACTTCAGAAATGCATCATTGTAACGCTTAAATTTTTCAGCTCCAACAGAAGAAAAGAAAGGTACAACATTTTAAATGAAATTAGCAGTAATTAAAATGGAAAAAAGTAAAAAAAAAACATTTTAAAAATAACTGTATCGGTTTTAAGTTTAGAAAAACGTTAAATACATAATTAAATACCTTTAGATTATAATTTTACTTATGAAATTGTATTGCCTTTTTTTTCAATATGTGCTTTTTTTCATGTTAAATTAATTTGAATTCTCTGAGACTAAAGTAACACACTAGAATTAAGCCATTTACACAATTTTACATTTTTTAGAATCTTTCAGCTATTTATTGATAAATAGGTAAATATATATTTTATACTTCTAAAAAAGTGACAATCAATATGTTGCATATATGGAGATTTAAAAAGTCTATTTCCTTTAATATCTAATTAATAAATAATTATATATTTTAAAATTACCACTTAACTCAAGGCATTATCTTAATGTATTTTATTATATATTTATATTATTTTAACTTATATATTTTGATTACGCTAATGCTAAAATAACATTTACGAATTTAAACATTCACAGAATTTCACTGCTTTCAGTAATTTTTAGATTTTAACAATAAATAGGTAATTTTATTCTTAGAAATATCCTAAAAACACGAATCAATATTTAGCACTTGAGGAAAAAAAATTTTGCAAAATACAATGATTTTTTTTTCACATTTGCAAAAATTATAGTTTATATATTATATAATTTTACTGCAAATATTGAATATTGCATTATAATTCAAATATTTAAAAAAATAAATTGTTCGAAAAAATTCGACAAAATAAATCTCTAAAAGTAAAGTAAATTTGAAAACAAGTAAATTTCTAAATTTTTATTATTTAAATAAAAAAAAAACAATTATACCTGTAAAGTTCTGCATTTTTGCTTTTGACTGATGACAGTTTTTATGTTGAAGTAAAATTATTAGGTTTCTCTTTTTATGAAAAAATTTACATATTATCATAAAGACATTTGAAACAAGTAGTTTTCTGTTCTTAGAACAATTAATTTATTCGTATCTAACAAATAGTGTAACTAGTAATTTGATGTTTAAACTATGTTTTAAAAAAATTCAATTTTAATGAATTTCAAATTTGGTAAATGTCGATATATGTAAAAATAAAAATGAAACTATCAACATTATTTTTCAGCTTCCAGGGCAGATAAACTAGATCGCCGCTCTCTAGTCTTTGTGAATGAGCCATCAGAACACATAGATTTTTATAATACAACTGGAGCCGTGATTCCATGCACTTCAAGGGGTAATCCAGCTCCCACAATGAGATGGGAAACAAGAGATGGCAATCCTATTAAAGACGTTCCCGGATTGAGGCATATTCGTCCCGATGGGTCTTTAGTCTTTTCTCCTTTCCATGCCGATCATTACAGACAAGATGTACATGCATCAGTGTACAGATGTACTGCATCAAATGCAGCAGGTACTATTGGTTCCAGAGATGTTCATGTAAGAGGAAGTAAGTACAATTTAAATTTATTTAATCATGATAGGAAATTTATGTAAGTAGGGTCAATTGTAACATCTTTTACTTAACTATTTTTAGATAACAAAAAATCTAACATATTATTAGTATTAATTGACAGACGAGTAAATTAGACTATCCTCTACTAGAAAAAAAATAAATACCTTATTTTAAATGTTCTTATAAAATTTATTAACAATTTTTGACAGTCGTACACTTGTTACAATTGTCCTCCCTTAGGAGGTCAATTGCAACAGTTCATAAATTCTACTAAAACGTAGTTAATTATACATATGATCATAGTTGTGATATATTTTTTTTATTGATCAAAATAGAAGAGATATTTTAGGAGTAAAAATAATAATGAGCAGTGACCTAAAGGGTTAAACTTTTAACTTTATGGGGTTAAAAATTATAATTTATGCTGTGAAAAGTGACAAATAAAATAATGCGCATGAAACATAATATAGGAAACTATTAGTGGTTCTTAAAGAGCTAAGTAATGGTTTTTAAACATGAGATTATTTATTTTCAGCTGTTACAATCGACCCTTTACTTATTGTTACAATAGTCCCCAAGACGTCATTTCAGCTTCATTTGTTAAAAACAATGCTAGTTAATTAACAAAACTAATGTTATTTTTTAAATGTTAATTAATGTGTCCACTGACATAATTCGGTTAATAATTTTTATTTGTATAAACAAAATTACTTTGTTACAGTATAATATTCATATACCAAAAAAAAGTACTTACGTAGTTTGAAAATATCTTTTGTGATGTAACTCATTCAAAAGTACATGAAAATGGTTGCCAGCAGGGGTGTACAAGTAGATTTATTAAATACACCTTGTGCGCCACCTAGGAACCAAATCTAGAACCCGACGCTCGAAATTTTTACTCTGTTACAATAGTACCCTGTTACAATTGACCCCACTCTCCCCTACTTTATTTATGCCTGAAAATTCTGCAAATTGAAAATTGGTTAGTTTTGTAAAAGAAAAATATTATGCGTTTCTATTAGCTGACCTGCATTTAAAAACGCGACACTAATCTATTTTTCTCTTGTTAGGAAAGAAAATTCTTTTGTCTTGATTCGATTTTACAAATTTTTCTTCCAATTTTCCTTTCCTCTTGATATTATGATAAGAAATGTATGTAAATACCTTATGTCTGTCTGAAAACACTCTAAACTGAAAATTGGTTATTGTAAATTAAAAATAGGATGTGGTTATAATAACGGAGTAAACATTAACTGTATCCTTCTTTAAGAAATATTACACTTAGTAATTTTGTTTGATAAGCATTATTATTTATGTATTGATAAATAAAATAGCTATAAAAATGAGACTTAGCCAAGTAATAAAGTTATTACTTATAAGTAATATGTAATTTTAAGAAACATTTCTTAAAATAAGTATAACGCTTCTATCTTAACACATATTCTTGTTGTAACAAATAGTTTAATATGCCCGTATGATATTTAAAAATGTATTCTGTATAAACATTGATATTATGTCAATTGCATAGCAAATATAAAGTTTGCGCCAGGTAGACATCATCAAACATTTTTTCGTTTTACATGAATTTCTTTCCTCATGGAATTTTCTTTTCTATGGATAGAGAAGAGCTGATTAAAACGCCAACAAATAACAATAATTTAAAAAATTCTATAGTCCTATAAAGTTCTTTTTCACTATATCAGAACCTGGCAAGACAAAAAAAAGTAAAAATACAAAAATCCGTTCTTTTATGTTTTAATCTAATGAGTTTAGAAGTAGAGAATTTTTTTCTATAAAATTATAGATAAAATTATATATGCTTCATAAACTTCTCTATCTGAACTGCCAAGCTTTTGACTTCAGAATTCAAGTTAACTTTTTCACTGAATTGTAAATTGATGTTTTCTTTTGTTGTGGAGTAACGTGTTATATTAATTTGAAAAAACAAAATTAAAAAAATAAGTAATAAACAGCACAGTGCCTTATTTCACAGCTTTGTCAATTTGATTTCATTAATTATTCAATAGCAATAAATGCATGGTTCTTAACATTCAATTCGCAAGGAGTCCCGTAAATTTAATGCAACTTTTGTCAAAAAAAAATCTCCATCTCTATAAATCTCTATTTCTATATACAATATGTTTTATGCGTTGTTTATCAACTTTGAGGAAAAGTTTATTAATTATACAGTTTTGTGGCAGTTCTATTTTAGATAAATTTTTCATTTACTCCAGTGTTTTCGACAATTTTTCCCGAAATTAATCTTCTTAAAATGGAAATACTTTATAAATAAATGTTTCTGGAACTTTGCTCCTTTTATTGAATCAAGTATTGCTACTAAATATTATTAATATAAACCTTTTGTACACAACCCTAGCATTTGAATCTGAAAGAATTGTTGGCTTATTCTTCTATTTCTTTTTCCTGCCCAATATTTTTTTTCTTATTTCTTTTTCCTGTTCAATATTCTTTTTTTTCTATTTCGTTTTAAGTTCAATACTCTTTTTCTTCCATTTTCACAATTCAATTTTGATTTTTCTATTTTTTTTCCTATTTAATATTCCCTTTTTTCTATTTTTTTCCTGTTTAATATTATTTTCTTCTATTTGTTTTTCCTGTTCAATATTCATTTTTCGGAGTTCTATTCTCCATTCAATCACTAGCAGTAGCACTTTTTAGTGCATTTTTTAATGGAAACTTAGTAATTTCTCTTCTACTTTTAACTAACAAGTTAAGAGGAACGATGGTTTCCAGTATTCTTGTAATTTTTAACCAAATACAAACGAAAAGAAAACATTGTAATCACCTTTGAAATATTAAACAGAATACATATCATATGGAATTCTTTAGATCCAGCTTTTGGGCATTGTATTGAAAATGTACATGTTTTATTTAATTGTAGATTATTATAGATAATTGGACGTTTCTATTTTGGATGGCATGTATTAAGATCTATGACTTAATTCATCTTCTGGCATACATATTTATTTTTGAAAACAAAAATTGGACCCATTTGGAAAATTCTATATGATGATTTAGAAAACCCACACAATAACCCAAAACTCAACCACTTTCCATAAATTAGCTTCTTCCCCCGCAATTCGCCTTAGACTGGGAGTTGAGGTGAAGTGGCGTGTTTGGTGCTATTCGATAGGTTTTTCAAAATATCAACTAAGATACAAATGAAGTGAGATTTATGCATTAAGTTTGATATCATTAAGAACACCATTTAAAAATATTTCCTGCACATATTTCTTGATTATTGATTCACTTTATATTTTATTTTTAAATAGACAGTTTGAGTAAAATGCTTAGTGATGATCGAATATCTCAAGAAGTGCAAAGTCTACATTATAAAGTACAAGAAGTACAAAGTCTACATATTATATTTTTCATTTTAGTAAATCAGTCTATATATAAACATATCTAAAATATTTCAGTAAACCCATACAATGGATAGTTTTAATTTCATCTACATTTAAGTTATTCAAATTATTACATTTGTTATAAAAAATTATGCATATTATTAGTAAAAATATTACTAAAGTATTATTACTGTATTTTTATCAAATGCAGTGATATCCCTTTCTTTTACGCATCCTTTTTTTTCTTTTACTCGAAATCCTTTTCACATATGTGATTTTTAAAGAAAATTTCACAACTTCTTACCACTAAAAAATTGTTATTCCATTCAAAATTTCTCTATCAATTCTTACTGCACTGTAAAAAGTTCTGGATCAAATCATGGTAAAAAGTACAAGCACTTTGAGAGCAAAGTCCATTTTACCGAAGTAAAATTTTATATTGTGAATTTTACACTAATATTAATTTAATTAGAGAGATTCAGTGGTTTACTGTAAATATTACTGTAAATAATACAGTTTATCAGATTTTCGGTTTATTTACGTCAAAAAATACTAGCACCCTAAGTGCTGGTACTTTTTGATAGTCTTAATAACGAGATTCTTTCAAACAATTAGATTCATTATTCCTCAGTGCTTTTTCAGAACACTTAACAACTTCTTTTCAACGCTTGCATTGACTGTAAATTAGATTAAGGCTCTTTTTAATGGTTAATATATTTCGTAAAAGTTTAAACTTTTAATACATTTTTATACTTACTACCTATAAATTTCATTTCACTGTTAGAAATTTCTCGAAAGAAATGGTTAAATAACAATTGATTGCATGGCTATTTTACCATATTTAATCAACACAGTCAAATAACCATAAATGAAAAGGTAATCAAACTGTTAAGTTTAGGAAAAACTGTTTATAAACTGCTTTCACCTAATACGGTTAAACATCCATAATTTCATAGCCCCAACTAGAACCACCTAATGAAGCTACTTAGTTCTTCGCTACTGCGTACATATCATAGCCGAGTGGGCTCATCTGTCACTCTCATGACCATCAGAACTGGAGTTCGAGTCCTAGTGTTGACACTACAATATTTTCTCCATTCCGTTCAACACGTGATGAATTCCCAGTGTCCGACACTCTTCAATGATCATTAACTTACGACAAACCGAGCTTCTATGTCTAGTTAGAAAATTATTACGTTTTTAAAAAGTGCTAGTTGTAAATGGTTAAAAACCTTATAGTTTTGTATTCATTGTTTTATAACGATATTTTTGTAAATGGTTATAATACCATAAAGGAAAAAAAAATTCTTTCCGTAAACTTTATGGTTAATCGGATGGACAGACAGCTGCCAGTTATATTACCCTAATTTTATAAGGAAAATTTTAACAGTGCTTCTCCGATAAATTTTTTTATTTATAATTTTATACTTACTATCAATATTTTTTGGCTTAAATTCTTCATCCACATCAGAAAACATGTTTGAACATACATATCTCTATGATTACACTTTTAAAAATTCCAGACTCCGTAAAAAACCCGGCACTTTGCGTGCTGTTACTTCTTATCGTAAAATTAATTACTGAAACATTTTACGGAGCAAAATTTGTGATATACCATATATTTAACGG